CACTCTGCTGCTGCTTTCTCTACAAATGCAAATTGGGTACTGAGTCAGTAACACAGGGACAAGGAAGACTGAGTTGCAAAGGGGGTGCAGTTAGAGAACAGTCAACATATTCAAATTGCCAGTGATCCCAGTAAACTGAATTCCATTTGGGTCCAATGAAGGTCAAGTCTGGATGAGCAGTGCATGAAGCCATAAGCTAAACCCCTCACTGGAAAGCTCAGGGTAGATAGAGACTAGAGCATCGGTTAACCCCAGCACTTGGGGAATGGACGCAGGGGAAGCCAGGACTTCAAAGTTATCTTCATAGCAAGTTCAAAGCCAGCATGGGACACACATGAATCTATCTGGAAAAAAGCAAAGCAAAACCAAAAAGAAAATGGGGTTCCTTCAAGCTTGGTTCAAGGCCTGGCTCTGCTGCAGGGGGTTGGAATACATGACCTTGAGTGAGTTCCTTTCTGTGCTTGGGTTTTCTGAGCTCAAATAAGGGGTAATAAGCCAGTGTGGTGGCTGAGCTTCCAGATTTGGTGCTTGCCTTGAAACCCTTAGTTGAGTGCCCAGAATGCAGTTTAGACCACTGATGATTGTGTTACCTATTCATTTCAAGGTCAAGGTTGAAAAACTAGGTTGCTGTTGAAGGGACCAGCTTCCCTTTTGGCAGCCATAACGGCCGAACATGTGCTTCTATGACCTTGTCCTAGACACTAGAAAGTCAGATGCCTGCCTCGTGACAAGGAACCAATCAGAAGGTAGCTGGTGGCGCTATGCTTTATGACCCTGGGTGTGCTTTACGGACAAGTACACAGCAATGATGCACAAAGTATAGCAACCACCCTGGGAGGGCCTATGGGCCATAACAACCAGTTGACCAATCAACACAGGGCAAGCCCTCCAAGCCTGGAGGCACACCAATCGTGAGCCTGTGCATACCCTTAGACACTCCCCATATGCTGCCCTACAAGATCTGTACGCAGCGGGTTCGAGCTGTATTTGCTAGCCATCCGCCATGGTGGGTGGGTCAAAGACCCGAGCTAACATGAGGTTAGCTCGTTAAATTACAATAAAGCCTCGTGCAGTTTGCAGCAAGCTCTCGAATCTGCCTGGTGATTGGGGTGACCGCGAAAGTCGCCTGGGACCCCGGATACTTGAGTTTTCGGGGGTCTAACAGCTATAAATCCTTAGGGTTAAATTGTGGCCTTCCTCTATACACATCAGCTGTAAGAGTACTGTGAATCAGTCTTCGCATGTTATGGCAACGTGAAACAACAGGACTCCAGTCCATCACTTTTACTAGGTGTGTTTTGTCTCATTTAGATTTTAAACTCCTTAGTAACAACCCTCCACTCTCCTAGCATAAAATAGATACTAGAAGGTTGTTTGCACACAGCTACCAGTTCATGCTGACTACACAAAGAGAATGAAATAAACAACTACACCAAAAGCCACCTTTAGTCAAGGAGTCTTAGATACTTAAGCAGTGCTAGATATCGAACTCGGGGCCTTGCCCGTGCTAGTCAAGTGCTCTACCACTGAGCTACATCCCCAGTTTGTTTTTTAAATTAGCTTATCGTTTTATAAGCCCAATCTAAAGCTGGCCTCCTTGTCCTCACCAGCAGCCATATGTTTGCTTCCGTGGGACATAAATTTTTATGTCTTTAGCTAGACATAGGGACATTCTCATTGTTCACAACTGCCTTCAATTCCTCCACTCACTGCATTGACTGCCTGGATGCTGAAATCTGCCCCAGGAAGAACTTCTCTGTGGATTTAAGAGCTGAAAGTCAGAAACCAGGAACCTATGGCTTGTGCTGAGGAGAAACATGGAGAAAATGTTAGCAGGGAAAAGGGTGTAGCTGGTAGACTCTTCAAAGGTCAGGCAGATCATCTGAGAGTTGAATCTACAGTGTCCTGCTAACTCAGGAAGCTCCTAACCTCTGTTCTCCAGGGTTGCCACCACATAGTCTGAGAGAGGGAGACTGCACCTGTTTGGAGCTATGACTCTATAAGAGTCAGAGAAACCCCAGGTCTCCAGGCCCTCCCTGCACAGTTGCTGGTTCAGCAGGTACAGGATGAGGGCAGGAATTCACATTCCTAACAAGCTCAGGTGCATTGTGGCTGCTGGGTTGAATGAAGCACATAGCTTGAAAACAGCCAGGCTGATACAGGGGTGGGTGGTGCTCTCACCTTAAAAAATGGAACCAACCACTGGTGGAGACATGCCTTTGCTCCCTTGAGAGTGAATCCTGTTGGGCTGGTCAGTTATCTGGCCAAGGGACCACCCTTTAGAAAGACAGGTTCACAGTAAGCCATGCTAAAGAGAAGGGAGGAAAAGTGATCTCTTTAATGGGATTTTTCTTTTCCTTCCCAGAATTCCTCTGTCTCACTTACAGTCTGTACACTTCTATGTACACAGTCTGTTCACTTCTCTGAATTACTCAAAATACCTTTCCCTTTGCTTCTTTCTATCTCTGTCCTAAGTACCATTTCCCGATCACTTTAGCCTCCTCTCTTTCTTTAACGTGTATCTCCCTATGAGGCTGTCTGTCTATCATGTGGCTATCTGCCCATTAAGTGCCTGGTCTGCATGCTAACCTAAATCAAAGGCTTTTCATCCTCCTTGTCTCTTCATCCTCTGTCTCCTTCCTCCAGGAAGCCATGGAGAGTCACAGCTTTCCAGTTTTAGAGCTTGGGGCTTTTTTGTTTGTTTGAAGACAAGGTTTCTCCATGTAGCCCTGACTGTCCTAGAACTCATTCTGTAGAACAGGCTGGCCTTGAACTCACAGAGAGTTCATATATATATATATATATATATATTTAAATTGTCTTCAAGCTTTCTTTTGTGTCCATTCTTAAATTCTTTTATTAACTAGACTAAAAACTCTGAGACCCTAATTTCCCAAGTAACATGTGGCAACTCTAGGGAGATCACCCCCAAAATACTGGTAAAAGCAGTAGATGTATATTAGAATTTCTTTGGGTCCTTAAAAAAAAAAAATCAGATGCTC